TTAAAATCGTAGGTTGATTAGCAAACTTGCTATTGTTAGTTGAAGACACAACAACCTAAATGTGTCTTTACTGGGATGCATTGAAAACACTTCCCAAGACCATCATAAATGGCATCTTCCACTTTTCCACATCTTCCAACAAAAAATTATGACTGAAAAAATTAAAGGGGTCATATGATGCGATTTCAATTTTTCCTTTCTCTTTGGAGTGTTACAAGCTCTTGGTGCATAAAGAAGATCTGTAAAGTTGCAAAGACTATTAGAGATATTCTTTATAAAAGTTAAGAGTCAACCACGCCTACCTAAAACGGCTCGTTCTAAGTAAGTACTGTAAGTAGTTTTCATATTTAAAGGATTTGCATACACCAAATACACAAAATAATGTTCTTTTTAGCAACATCATATGACCCCTTTAATAGGACCATTTAACATTTACAAAAACTTTTGCATCCCTATTTTTACATTTAGATTACCTCATTCAACAACACTACATTAAAATTAATATTTAAAAGCACTAACAATCTAATGAAAATGTTAAAAGTAATATTTAGCAAAACTCAAAATATACATTTTATTCTGTACATTATAATGTTGTAATGCCTGAATTTACTTGGAGAATTTAAAACAATTTAATTTAGTTTAAGCATTTTATCCTTAATTTATGTAGACAATTTTTTAAATCTACTATTTATTAGTTAGCATTCACAACATGAAATCAAATGTTGGTGCATCCCTGGATTTGACCAAAATGAAAATTCAACTCAAACTTAAACTACAGACCATCTTGAGCAAACTAAATGAGGACACATTCACTAAAAATAAAATAAATCCTCTATAAGAGCGCACAGGTTAATATCCCATTTAAAGTTAAATCCATGTGCGTCTGAGGCTCTGATCTGACAAAATTACACAAAGCAAAGCAGCAATAAAAGTTGAGAGCCAGTTACATTCAGTTCAGATTAATCCATAAAGAGACAGACAAACTTTTCTATTTCATTCTCCACACCAGCTTTGCTCAGCATGCCTGGCTGGGTGGCTGAATTATTCTGTGTGATCTCCAGAGAAGCGCAGGACCAGGGGCAGCGCGAGGACCAGTAGCCCACGTAATGTGCTCCTGACGCATACGCAGCCGCGGCGAGGACCCCTGGGCAGAGGACAACTGATGTGGAAATGACTTTAAATGTTTTGGACGAAGTCCACAAAAGGCAGCAGATCATCAGAAAAAGAGAGAGAGAAAGAGAAAGAGAAAGAAAATAATAAAAAAAGAATGATGAAACGATAGAGCAGAAGCAATATCAATCAATGTTTGAACCACAGGAAGTGAATCATTCATTTTATCTTGAAATGTACACATTTACTTCACATTGTTTCATCTTTCCTCTTATTCCTGCTTTCTAATCCAGGACTTGTGAACATAACCTATTTGTAGTCAGTCACATGCTGCCCTCTAGTGGCTGGAGGAGGAAATGAGCAAGAAATAGTTCATTTCTACTCCAATATGAAAATCTGAGGACTCTTCAACACTTTTCCATACAAGAACAGTTCACAGAGTAAATGATGACAGAATTTTGGAATATTCCTTGTACAACTCTGCTTTTCCATTATCCATTTTTCCATTACGCACCTTATAGGAAACTTCACAGATAAGTTCAGAATGAGACTACATTCTTGCTAGTCTGCAATTTTGGTAAGTAGCATGACTCCAGTTGGGAAAAAATGGAAAACAACAATTTCCACAAATTCAAAACTACAGACACAACTTTGCAGGTTTAAACCCAGTTAAACGGAACACAAGACTGATATGAGGAATAAAGACTGCAACAGCTGGAAATGCTGCCATTGTTCTCTCTCAAACACACACACAAATACACACAGAGAAATGTGGTGTCAAATAGGGCAGCTCAAGGAGCTTTGATGTCAGTCTCTCTTGGAATGCTCTCTTCTCCTCTCCTGCCTTTATACACCTCTCTTTCTATCCCTCTCTCATTCTTTCTTCTGTTTTCCTTAGTTTCTCACAGCAGGCAGGAGCACAGGGCAGAATGAACCAGTGTGTAGAGCAAAAATTTGTCTTTTTGTCGATTGTCAAAGCTCAAGAAGACAAGAAAAAAAATGATGCGTCATGATGATAATTGCACAATTTTACTTCAAACATGCTACAGATGAAAATATGATACTGTATTTTTGCTGATAAATCTTTTATATGTGTGAAAAAACAGAAGGTTTACCTCAAAATGAAAATTCTGTCATCATTTACTCCTCAAAACTGTATGACTTTCTTCTGTGGAACAAAAAAGAATTTTAAAAGATTTTGAAAAATTTTCTAACTCAAGTTAAAACTGGTTGGTTACCAACATTCTTCAAAATATATTTTGTATTCCACAGAAGAAAGAAATACATAGAGGTTTGGAACAGAAATATGAGGAACTATCCATTAATTGTTCAAACATTTTTCAAAATGCTTAAAATGTGGTTTAAAGTTTAGTCTGTGACAGTGACATTTTGTACTGTTATCATCAATTAAAATGTCAGAATAAAATGGATTTAAATTAACGAATATGGCAAACATGTATCAACTGAAAAAAAATGAACTAAACAACTGCAAAAATGCAAGTTAGAGAGAAAGAGAGAGCGAGAGAGAGTCTGTGGGAGATGGGAGTGTTTATGTTTGTGGAAGGAGGAATTCAGTAAGTTTGTGGGAACCTGGTGTATGTGGATCTCTTCTAATCTCAATGCTGGTGTCAGATATCAGGCATGTCTTTGATCAGTCTGTTATTAGAGAGGTGTGTATGGACAAGAGGAATTCAGATATTATGCTTTGTGTTCTCACTCTCCCCTCAACCATTCCCCATCTGCATGCACATAACACATAACAAAGGAATACCATTTCATCTATTAATCTCAAATCACAAATATAGTCATCGCACACACAGAAATGTGTGTTTATGCTGATTAAGACATCTCAAGTGTGTGTAAAGTCTCTCATGAGAACAGAGACATTAACAAGCTCTTGCCAGCAGAGACATTTACAATGGACCTTTTGTATTCCACAGAAGAAAGAAATACATAGAGGTTTGGAACAGAAATATGAGGAACTATCCATTAATTGTTCAAACATTTTTCAAAATGCTTAAAATGTGGTTTAAAGTTTAGTCTGTGACAGTCTGGCATTTTCTATCATTTTTCTGTCATTTTGTACTGTTATCATCAATTAAAATGTCAGAATAAAATGGATTTAAATTAACGAATATGGCAAACATGTATCAACTGAAAAAAAATGAACTAAACAACTGCAAAAATGCAAGTTAGAGAGAAAGAGAGAGCGAGAGAGAGTCTGTGGGAGATGGGAGTGTTTATGTTTGTGGAAGGAGGAATTCAGTAAGTTTGTGGGAACCTGGTGTATGTGGATCTCTTCTAATCTCAATGCTGGTGTCAGATATCAGGCATGTCTTTGATCAGTCTGTTATTAGAGAGGTGTGTATGGACAAGAGGAATTCAGATATTATGCTTTGTGTTCTCACTCTCCCCTCAACCATTCCCCATCTGCATGCACATAACACATAACAAAGGAATACCATTTCATCTATTAATCTCAAATCACAAATATAGTCATCGCACACACAGAAATGTGTGTTTATGCTGATTAAGACATCTCAAGTGTGTGTAAAGTCTCTCATGAGAACAGAGACATTAACAAGCTCTTGCCAGCAGAGACATTTACAATGGACCTGTGATGGGAGTTTATTATTGTGTGTTGATGTTTGTGCATGTGTCTGCTGAGCAGACACATGGATAGGACAGCCCTGTCTGGACCGATGCCCATGTTTGTGGATCCAAACAGCCTCTCTCCAGAGACACAGACAGATGCCATGTTAAGAATGGAAAACTAGTGTAGTGCAAAATATATACTCCATAACAGTTTAAAAAAATAAGGAAGAAAAAAAAAAAGATTAGTCTGCAATTATAAAAATACTTCAAATTGTAGTATTCTACTTTGTTCTTAGCCAACCATTTGAAAGTTTTGGGTCTATAAGACTTTTTCATTTTTGTTTTTGAAAGTCTCTTATGCTCAACAAAGCTGCATTTATTTAACCAAAATACTGTAAAACAATTACATTTTGAAATAGTAATACTATATTAATATTCAGCGCGGCCGGCGGATTCTTTGCAACTTTACAGATCTTCTTTATGCACCAAGAGCTTGTAACACTCCAAAGAGAAAGAAAAAATTTAAATCGCATCATATGACCCCTTTAAAGTTACCTTTACGATAGAACAGGTCTATACCTTGTTCTTTTTTTAAACAAACTAAAAAGCCTTATGTTATTTATCTTACTTACACGACGGCATGTCATTTTGGTCTCTACGTTATGGTCGCGCTCTCTGTATCACGCACAGCGGAGTTCCGCCCTGATGCGCGCACACACACACGCACTCACACACACACGTGCACGCACACACAAGTGATGTTTATGGCAGAGCGCTGATCATTCACTCCCCCACCTACAATCCCTGCCGGCCCTGAGACTCGAACCCACGACCTTTGGGTTACAAGTCCGACTCTCTAACAATTAGGCCACGACTGCCCCAATTAATGCAATACAAGAGCATAAAAGCTGGCAATCTTCTAGAAGGCAAAAGTCACTTGGCAGGGTGAATTTGTTATTTGCATTAAAACTGTGTGTACTGCTGAAATAACAGCTAGATCGGGTTCTGAAAAAAACAGCCAGACAAATAACCTGCTTTTAAACTAAGACATGAAACAAATTAATCCAAATACTGAGCATCGCAGTTCAGCCAAACTACATAATCACTTGTCAAACCACATGAACAACTAAGGGTGAACAGGCACTACGTGACACAAACATATTCTGCCTCAAATCAGTCATTCTTGCACTCTGAAACTGTAACATTAGTGTGATTACTGTATTTGAGCACTAGGTGTCAGGCTGCACATACTCAGCAAAACTCACTAGAACAACAAGCACAATAAAAGCACTCACATTTTCAATGACAAAGGTCCACTCTTTGTCTTCAAACTCCTCTGCGTGGGGATCCTGAAAAAACAGAATGTGGAAATGAATTAATGCCATACAAACTGAGACGAGGCTCATTAAAGAAGTCTCAGAATAAAGCCTGTTTTTAGTGTCTTTTGTAGCAGATACTGGGCAAAAGCAACTCCACAGATCAAATCAATCTCCATTTACTGATCAACAATAGGAATCAAAGCAATATCTGCATCTCTTGAGGGAAATAAAATGTAAAACATACAAGGGATGTAGAGACGTTTCCATAAATGACTCATCCAAAGCTTCATCTGGCTACATCAGTATTATAATGGACAATTGCAGTGCAATAGGTCACAGACAAAGTGATCTGTGTCTCATACAAGTCACACTTCTCTCACACTGATCTCTGTTGTAAGCCTATTTCAAAGCTGAATCAGGTTTATTAGTATGGTAAATGTGCATATGAGGATGCAAATACACACAGGTTCACTTGACCTGCTGTTCTGTTGTTCTAGAACTGCCCCGGTCAGCTGACCGCAAGGTTGGCGGTACACAAATGAAACATTCATGAACTCATGAATGACAAACTGACCCACTGCAATGAACTCTGGGAGATGTAGTTGTACATGATACTGATTAGTGTGTGTTAGTGTGGTTTGGTGAGGACAGGGCTGATAAGGAAAATGTTTGGACAAGCATTTTGTGTGTGTGACCTTTGTAAACACAATGTGGAGAATGTTAGAGGATATTCAACACCAGGTCAGCGCTAGCTCGTAACTTGCATGTGTGGTGTGTGTGTGGTTTTAAGTCAGTTCTTTTGCCCCTCTGAGGACATCGATGCTAATGAAATGATGGATGAATTCTAAACTTATGAACATCTAAACATGTTCATAATTACATCTGTGCTGTTAACAGGAGAAATCCTCAGATCTACAAACTTCTCTCTCTTTCTTTGCCTAATAGATGTACTTCCTCTATGGCTGCACATGGGTCTAACAATTCAGGATGTAAGGTCTCACTTCACTTGTGCCAGATGTAAAAATGTTCTGACCGGCATCTCAAAAAGACTAAAATACAGAGCACAGACTTCCTGCTGTCATGTCAGTTTCTGCTGCACACACACTTGAGAAGGGGGTTAAAATGTGGACTCTGGCAGTTAAATTAGAGTGGAATCAGGATGTCTAGACACCAGCAGACCTGCAGATCCCAACCAATCAGCTTCTAGGAAAAAGCCAACTGCTACAACTGGCCCCAATAACATCTAGACCTACTTGGCCCCTAGATGAGATACTGTTTTTTATGTGTGTGTAAATGCATGTGTTTACCTTAAATAGTGTGACAGTGATCTCTATATTCTCTGGAACAGGCCACACCACCACTCCTCTATAGGGATTCTTGATGCCAGGCTGCCAGCTATGAGACTGCAAAAAAAAATGCATGAAAAAGTTGCATGATAGATTCATTAAAACTAACAGCTTTACTCCTACAAAATAAAACAGAAAATATATACAATAATCTAGTCATTGCTACAATAAAAAACACTGAAAAATTATTTTGTTACTCAGTATTTCTGTCTTGTTTGCCAGTTTGAATTAAACATATTTTTCTTACCTCACTGGCAGAACTTTTTAAATGTTTAAAGCATGAAGCATAAAACAAGAATATCATTAAGTAATTTTGCTACAAGTAAATTAGATTTTTTTGAACTGGAAAACAAGAATTTTTTTGCAGTGAATTTGGAGTGATAAGTTGTTACATAAAGCTTTAATGATTCATTAAAGTTAATGTGCGTAATTTTTGAGCCAATATCAGCACCAGAAGGAGCTGTGCCATCCCAAACTCACATCATTAGCCCAATCGTTAAATGCATTTAAATGCACATTTAAAAGTTGATTTCAGTTGGACTACAACTAAAAATGTCACAAACACTTCAGTCAGACTGCTCTTACTATTCTAGTCTGGTTTTGTTAAGTCAGGCTTACAGACCTAGATAATGTAATTGTAGCTCAACATCGTCTAGCATGTATATTAGGGTTGTGACGGTGAGGAAATTTCCCCACCGGTTAATTGATGTGTAACAACACCGGTAGTACCGGTATCGCCGTGGGGGGGGGGTTAAAACGCGGTGCACATTTTACTTTCACTTTCAAATTAGCGGCAATTTGGCGTAAAGCACTTGTTCATTGTTAGTTCATTTGAGTTTTCCCTCTTTTCCTCACTTTCCTTCACTTCTAAATATCTTTAAAGCGCCATTTGTTTTATTTCGGTGTCAATTCAAGTATCAACAAAATACAACTTCAAACTCAACTTAGCCAATATAGAAGTCATAGAACTTTTATTAACAAAACGAATCAAAATACACCAGTCTATAGGCTATGCCTAATATAAAATAACAAATAACTTTAAATAGCCTAGGTATACAAAACTGAAAATCAGCAAACACTGTGGAACCAATTAAATAAGAAACTAATGTTTAAAAAAAACTTCCAAAATCACCTTAGATAAACGGCAAAAGTCAACAGGCTTTTCAAAATCCAAAATATTGCCAAACATGCGCTTTTGCATTTAGTTTCGAAACTAAATCTTCCACTATCATCTTGTCTTTCTCACCTCCCTCTTCTTGTCAGTCAGCTCGACTCACTCTCCTCACGTGAATGAAATCTAATCTATGATGCGACTGCCGTTCGGCACGCTGTATTGAGCAGCCACGTTTAGTTTTTAATTGTAGTGTCTGTTCTCTAACTGAAATAAACTATTTTTATTACTGTAAAAATCAAACGATGGTGGGGGATGGTGCCGCGGTGGGCAAGTGATATACCAGTGTTGTGGCTTAACACCGGTGTTACCGCCAACACTGTCTATCGCAGCAAGCCTAATGTATACATGCTAATTGGGCTACAACTGTCTTCAGCGTTGTGCTTGCTCCAAAATTTGATCTGTGATGTGTATTTAATCCATCAAATTATATATTAAGAATGTAGCTCAACTATAGTAACCCACTAGTTACTGCACATGTAAACATACTTAAGGCATTGTTTGCAACTGCATTTAAAAAAAAAAGAAAGAAAGAAAGAAAGAAAAAAAGTAATATTACCCACCTTGGATGATTTCCTTCGGCTCCTGCGTGTCCAGACAACAACTAGCTTGTCCGGTTGCCTAAAAAAAAAACACAAGATAAAAAAAATAAAACAATCAGCACTAATGATGACATATAAAACAAGCATAATATCTAAAAGAAACGCTACCAAAGCTTCAGATTTCAGTTCTGCTGTGAACAAACTACAGCAAAATCAAGTCTAAATCACACGAGGCCCAACAGAGAACAAGATCAGATGAGAAATAAGAGAGAAAGATGCTGATCAACCTCCTCAGCAAAGAGCTCAAAGTCCAACTGATGCTGCAAATCAATTCATACACATCACATACAGCCTAACACAGCAGTAACTAACTCACTGCTTTGCTTTTGAGAGGCAAGGGTGTGTGCACTATGTATGTGTTAATGGAGTTCAATTCATTCCTCACACTAAAGCACAAATACACCTTACAGTACAACATTGACAATACACATCAAGTGAAGACTCACGGATAGACCTACAGGTTTAAAGATAAACGGACTGTTAGAATAGAAGGAAAAAGGTTTCAGGACATCTGAGCATGACTGAGAGCGAGAACACACACAGGAACCAGGACTCGCAATCTTGAATTGGATTACCAGCAGTAAGAGGCTTGACCACAATCTGACAGGTGTGTGTTTATGTATGGGTGCTGCGTGTGTCTCATTTTCAGAACATCACAGTCCCCATATAAACTGTTCCAAACATGGTAGAGCAGACAGAAGGATAAACAATCTCCTGCTGTGTGTCTGGATTATTCTAGATTACTATATGTATCAGTTTCCCAGGAACAGAGAAATGTCTGCGCCCCCAAAAAGGATTTTCTGTGGAGAATCACCACTGATAGAGCATTTCATCCAATGACTAGACTTAAACTGTGTCCGGGAAACTAGCAAGAGAGCATCACAGAAATTATGCACAGATGCTCCATGTGTCTCTACATTTCTAGAACACACACACACACACTGCCTCCTGCCCTACAGCATCATGCTGTGTTTGACATGGAGCACTGAAGACAATCTGTTTTCAGTCATCTCTCGCTCTGAAATACCGAAACACTTTCTCTTTATCCTCTCTTCTATATTTCCATTCCTACTTGGACTTGTGCGTTTCCTCTAGGCTAGTTGACATGCTCTACTGCAATTCTCTTTTCACATGATCTTATCAAAGTTTTTCATAATGGCTTTATGTTTCCTCATGGATGGGTCACAATGTTTCTTGAAATAACTTTTATTCAGCAAGGCTGCATAAATTGATCAAAAGTGACAGTAAAGAAACTTATAAATGTTACAAAAGATTTCCATTTCAAATAAATTATGTTCTTTTTAATTCTTCCCATTCATCAAAGAGTCATTAAAAATATAATAGGCTATATATGATGAAATAATACGTATCAATGTATTAATATGTATATTATTAAATCTAACTGAATTTACTGTTTTAATTTAAAAAAAACATTTGACATAAGAATTTGACATAAAAGATGGCACATACATTTAACAAGGTATAAAAAAATTACTTTACAAAGATTTTTAAAAAGGGGATTGGAAATCAATTCCCGAATGAGAAAGTTAATTTTTGTCACTGGTCAGAAGGTGCTCCTACATTTTTGACTCTGCTCCTTAATTAAAATATATAGGCCTATATATATATATATATATATATATAAAATTATTACTAGTATTAGACACTAGTATTTTGACCAGCTAAAAAATGGTTTTAAGTCAGTTATTTCTATCTTTTGCTGTAGTGTGTCAGTCTGTCTGGAAAGACATGAAGAAACAGAACTGAGACAGACAGACTAAATCCAGAAGAACTGCGGCAACGTCTCCAAGATGCTTCAAGAAACCTACCTGCAAAGTAATAGATGTGCATAGTTTTTCTGGTAGCTTTGCAGGTAGGTCTCTTGAAGCATCTTGGAGATATATATAACTTTCTGGTCATGTGACCTGATGATGTCACACCATATATTAATATTTTTTTTTCTCAAACGTTGTCAATGGGGTAACCCAAGCAAGTACAGGAACTTGCTACTGCCAATGTATTTGGCAATACAGTGCCGTGAGTATTTAAGACATACTGCTACTGCACAAATAGCATAAAATAGCCCCCCAACAAAGCTGGAAGAAGAAAACAAAACACTTAAATATGTATGTTGCTGCTATACAATAATATGCTTAAAATCATCAATATAAGGCAGAAGAAATATAAAAGATAAAACCCCCCAGAACAAGCAGATCTATTGCCAAGACATAAGTACTGCTGCTGCTCTGGAGAGCCGTGAGACCGTGTGTTTGCTATCTACGTGAGCCTGGGCCGGCTTTGCCGAATGGCTTAACGCTAGTGTTATTATTATTTACTTTATTTATCCCTCATAAGGGAAATTTGTTTTGGGCAATACAGATAGACCACGTAACAAGATTCCTGCATTTGTAAGCAATCATGTCCTTATGCTTTTCACATTTGAGTTTAACAATCCTGTCGCCAAAGGAACAAAATAATTATTATAGCGTTTGTATCTGAACCTCTGAGTGCGGTAATTTGAAGTAGTTCAAATTCTGTGTAAAGCACATGACAAGGGTCCAGAGTCATTTTCCTTGCCTGCCTGAGAACAATTTTGCTAAAAGTAGATTGTAGAGGCGTATAAACCCCCATACCGACCACCTTCATTGCAGTATGCACCAAGCGGTTCAGCTGAGATCTAAAGGTGACTGTCAGGTTACCAAGCCAGGCCGCTATGCCATACAACAAAACAGACTCAATACAGGCATGATAAAACATTAACATAACCCTCTGTGTAACCCCCAAAAGTCTGAGCCTCTGTAAAAAGTACATTTTTTGTTGCACCTTCCGACACAGATGTAGTGTGTCAGTCTGTCTGGAAAGACACGAAGAAACAGAACAAACTGAGACAGACTAAATCCAGAAGAACTGTGGCAATGTCTCCAAGATGCTTCAAGAGACCTACCTGTAAAGCTACCAGAAAAACTATGTGCAAGTGCGCCTAGGGCAAAAGCTTCTTTAAACACAAAGGAAGGTCACACCAAATGTTGATTTTTATTTAGTTAATAGAAGTTAATTGATAAAGAAAATCTATTTATGATATTTTTGACAGCATCCTCAACATCCATTTTACAGCATTTTTACACAAGTGCCTAAAACTTTTAACAGTATGTTGCTTTGCAGGTAGGTTTCTTGAAACATCTTGGAGACATTGCCACAGTTCTTCTGGATATATATATATACTGCTGGTTGACAAAGGCCAATGAGCCAGAGACCTGTTCAGTGTTTCTACAGCCAATGCCAGCAGACACATACAATTATACAATTACTGCACTTCACAATCATTGAAACCATCTGAACCCTAAACACAAGCAGTATATGTTCAACAGAACTACATTACAGTATTGCTATTGTTTCAATGTGTTTCCTGCTGCAATCCCACCAGCATCCTGCCAGAAACAGAAAGAACCACACCTGTAACTCATTTCGTGGTTAATTTCTTATATTTCATATGTGCACTCTGCGTTCCCTAGAGTACAGCTCATTTCTCAGACCCATTACCACACAGATCCTTAAAGTCGGTCAGTTGTTTTAGCTCAGATTTGTGGCTACAGGTCATGCAGCTCTAGATACATTAAGATTTGCTTTGCTTGCCAAAGTCTTTTGACTGCGCTTTCAAGGTCCATCTTAACTACTGTTCTCTACAAAAACCCTAATATGAAATTTTTCCATGATTGGCATTCTTTGTAAATCTGGCAAGTGTCTGCTGATAGAAACCTGCCAACAACTGAAGTGTGAGTAATGAAGCCAAGACTGTCAAACCCTGCTCTGGGAATTTAAGACTGACAGGCTGCAGGTCTGCATCTTTGTTCACACCTTTTATTACAACAAGAACTGTATAAGACTTCCAAACGTAGCATGCAATGTTTTTTGAAGAAATAATGAGTCAAAAGTGAACTGAATAACACTTAAGTGTTTAGCAGCACTCGTTAGGCCTAATGATGTACAGACTGCACAACTGTAGGTGTCTAAATGTTGTTTGAATAAGCAAGCCTTCAGAGACATGTTTATTACTTGAGTAAATTTAAGCAGCCCCATGAACTACACTACTGGTAAAAAGTCTGGTGTCAATAAGATTTTATTTAATGTCTCAAGCTGACCAACGTTTTTAGTTGATAAAAATTGTTATTTTAGAATTTAGTTGATAATACAGTAAAACCAGCAACATTGTAAAATAGTATTGCAATTTAAAATAAGTTCTTTTTTAAAGGGGTCATATGATGCTGCTAAAAATAACATTATTTTGTGTATTTGGTGTAATGAAATGTGTTTATGCGGTTTAAGGTTAAAAAAACACATTATTTTCCACATACTGTACATTATTGTTTCTCCTCTATGCCCCGCCTTTCTGAAACGCGTCGATTTTTACGAAGCTCATCGGTCTGAAAAGCGAGGTGTGCTCTGATTGGCCAGCTATCCAGTGCATTGTGATTGGCCGAATACCTCAAGCGTGTGACGGAAATGTTACGCCCCTTACCATATTGTGATGCCCTGTCCGGCCGGAGCGACGAGACAAAAACATTAAAATCTAAAAAAAAAAAAAAAAGAGCTTGTAACACTCCAAAGAGAAAGGAAAAATTTAAATCGCATCATATGACCCCTTTAATAACTTTTGTAAATGTGCAAATCTAATTAAAATAAACAGCTGCTAAGCCAATTAAGGGTGCTTTCACACTTGGTTCGATTGCTTGGTCCGAACCAGAGTTCGATTGCTCCCCCGTCCCCCTGCCCCCGCTGTACTGTGTTCACATTATATTATTTGGGTCCGAACCGCAGTTCGTTTGCATCATCAAGCCAGCAGCTGTTTACCCCGTTGCTGAGTAACGATGGCGCAGGAGAAGACGGCAAAATGCGTAGCATTGATCTCTTCAATTTTATATTTATGCTTTGAACCGTTGGTTTGGTTTCCAAAGCTTCAGTACATAACGGCACATACGTCTGCCTTACGAAGGTACTGAAAATGCTCTAAAGAACTCTGAA